ATGACGTCTTTGTATGTGTGTGTTTTGTCTATTTCCGTATGCACTGTTCCTGACGCTTCCGGTGTTTTGCGGCCCATAGAACAAAGTCGCGGCCAAGGTGGGTGACACTTCCGGCTACCCACAAAAGCCTCCATCATCCAGACCCTTGATAAGTTTGAAGCTGTCACGGTCCCATGGAAATGGAAGACGCGGGAGCTTTTCACCAGCCAGTGTTGGCCTAAGGACGCGAAATGAGACGGGCCTAATGGTGCAGCGCTCGCCGTCGAATTACTCCCAGGACAGGAGACAGGAGAAGTGGGGTCGGCGTCAGTGCAAGCAGCAGAGGCGCGCCGCATGCAGAAGCTGCAAATCTTCCCCTGATACGCTGAATCGTGAGCCAGCAATACGGTGGGAGATTCGCAGACGCGAGATGTCGTGCAGGGCGCACTGACGGTGTTGTCGGCAAGGGTGTATTGTTTGCCCAGGTCGTTGTCTAGGCAAATGATGTTGTGGATGGTTCGCGCGAGATTTTCAGGCTAACCACAGTCGCTCTAGCCTGCATCATACTGTACCCAGCCTCCGGACCAAACAAAGACACTCTTTCCTTGGTCGATGAAAGCAGATCGACGTCTGCAACGCGCTTCACCTTCGCTCAATTGCTGTGTCGTCAACATCTCACTCGGTCTCTGAAGCTCCCTCGCATCGACATGGCTGCTACGCGTTGCTAGAAAACCTCGACGTGCCTGTACCGTCGCGTCGTGAGCTACACGCACACGTGCCCCTCCCACCACGCCCATCTATTACACCTCGAAGCACCCTCAGCCGCTATCCTACGTATGGCAGCAGTGGCTGTCCCTCCGTCGCCCCAGGTTCCTTCAGTCATGTCGAACCGGCGCGTCCCCCTCGCCAACCTGCAAAACGCTACCAACTCCCCGTTACGCGCGACTGCCATAGGAGGAAAGCGCCAACGCTCCCACGCCAGCGAGCAACGCGATGTCCCCTATGGCCAGCCACCACCCAAAAAACAGCTTATCGAGGTCGATGATGCTGAAGCTCGCCGCCACGGCCTTATTCGTCGGAGTGGGGCCCAGCCCACGGCTTTGACTCGCAAGCTGGAAGCAGCAAGAGAGACCAAGGCCCCGTCCAAGCAGGCCGCACAGCGTGCATCTCACGACCTAGAAACGATCCGACAATGGCAGCGTCACTACCGCAAGCTGTTTCCCCAGTTTGCGTTCTACTTTGACAGCGTCTCAGAACCCCAGAAAGACAAACTTTTGAACAGGGCACGCGTCCTAGGTTCCGTACGTCTGGCATACCCTTTCCTACATCCGTCGTGCTAACAGTCACCAGCGAGAAGTCAAGTTCTTCTCTCGGGAAGTCACCCATGTCATCACGACGCGTTCCATTCCCGCCGACCTCGATGGCAGTTCATCCTCCCACAAAGGCACCGTCAACCCGGCCCAGCTGGAGAACAAAAAGTCCATCTTCGATGCCGCCCTCGAGAAGTCCGACCGCGGTGACATCCTGTACAAGGCTAAGAGCTTGGGTATGAAGATATGGTCCGTCGAGAAGTTGCAGCGCATGGTGGATACCATGTTCAACAAGGAGACTGGGGAGGACGCGTCTACCCATTCGACACGTCAGGCGGTGGCTACGCAGCACAAGGGCCGTCCTGCTGATTTGCAAAGGCTGCTACAAAATGAGAAGTTGGACCGCGACTACGTCATGGCCTCGCAGGACATGATTCCGCTCCGTGGATACTACGTCTACGTGCACGATATGGACGAGGTTACCCGACCCGTCATGATCCGAGAATACCAGAAGGTTGAGAAAGAGAAGGGCAAATGGCCGCAGTTCCGTGCCTCCGGTAACGGCAAATGCCCGTTCGTGGAGGATCCCCATTTCGGTCGCCGACAGCAGGAAGAGCAGGAAGCACGCCGAAGGCAGGCTGCCCAGGCGCCACGGACGCGTGCTGCCTCAGCTATGGAAGAGAAGAATGCTTTGGGAGAGAACAACAATCTGGCAAGGCGTCCCAGCGCTCCTGCTGCCATTGTCAAAGAAGAACAAGATGGAGATGCGAAACCGTTAGATCCTCCAAAGGCCCTTCCTCCCAAGCGATGCAACACGGCAGACGGCCCACCACCAATGTTTGGCAGTGCTCAGGCTAGCATCCGAGCCATGCCCCGTTTCATCGCTGGTGAGCCGGTCGCGTCTGGTCTACATCAATCGAACATCACGTCCGCTATCCGCTCGCAAATGATCTCCTCGACTGCTGCTGCCCCTCGTGCTGGAAACAGCAAGGAAGTCAACCAGCTAAAACGAAAGGTCCTCGAGAAGAACAGCGTACCGTCGGCGAACACGAATAGTGGCCATTCGTCCGTTACAAACGATGTCAGGGCTGCGCTCAGCTATGAGCATTCTCAACCCATGCGCGCGGCAAAGCGCAAGGCCCAGGAGAACATGGGTCACACACACGATGATGGAGACGAAGAAAGACAGGCTCGTAAAGCAGCAGCCCTCCGCAGGCGCAAGACTGCTGAGAAGGAGCTGAAGCCTGGTTACTGCGAGAACTGCAGGGAGAAGTTCAATGACTTTGACGAGGTACGCACTACAAGCATTCTTCTACACATGATATACTGACAACATGCAGCACGTCGTCTCGCGCAAGCACCGCAAGTTCGCAGTTACCACGGACAACTGGGTTGAGCTTGACCAGCTCCTCGCCCAACTTGATCGTCGATGAGCCTTGCGGCTCATGCAGACTACACGGCCACACATTGCATCCCTTACGGCGTAATGCACGACCTCACTAATACCCACGACATAATTTCCTATCGCACCTGTTGTTCACTTCTCGCCCCCGGGCGCATGGCATTACTCTGCGAGCGAATACCCGTTTCCATAGCATTTTCGAGGCGCAGCTTCTACCTTTCCCCTTATTGGCGACATAGCTTGACTTGCTCCATTTCCTTACCCTGTATAGGCCCATGATCACTGATCCCTGGCGGCTTAACGATGCATGCATCCCCTTTGTATATAGCTATTGCGTCATGACCTTCGGGTCATCTTTGCTGGTTGTTGCGCTTTGCAAACCGGCTGGCTGGTGGTGTGCACGCGTGTGTTTTCAGTAAACGAGGGTTGGTACTACTATGGAGGTTTGTAGAACATTGTCATACTGAGGAGGTTACTTGGCGACGAACGCGGACGACGCCATACTGGAGGCTATGTTATATATCATTATCGTATCAGATATGTAGAAAACACTAGATATCAATGCGAAAGATGATATGGTTGAATGACTGTCTTGCGCATTAGAGGAGTGATGTTGGGGTGGTGGGGCGCTGATTGGCTAGGCCGACGTTTACACCTTCCATCGTGACCATCGCTCTTACCTCGAACGAACACTAACCCACAAACATTCCCTTTTCCCAAATCAGTCCTCCTTCATCTTCTTTGGTCTTCCACCCTCACCCCAGTATAGCTGCTGTATCCACACTTGACTTTTCGCTTCGGATTAATACACATCAACCGTGGCCATGTCCGAATCACCAAGAGAAAGGATGCCGGAGGAAGACGACGCTACAGAAGCGCCTCTCACCATGGCAGCCTCAGTCGTGTTGACCAATCTCCCCAAAGACGCCTCGAAAGCGCTGGAAGGAGCAGGAAACCTCGCTGTTCAGAAAGGTATCCCCATCCGCTTTCATCTACCCATGTTCCAACTCACCAACAACAAACCCACTCAATCATCCCACACACTTCCTGCCATCCCATCCCAGTCCATATCCTCTCCCTCACTATCAACTAACACCATACCTACAGTCACAATCCGCCTGCAACCCATAGGCTCAGCCCCCCACCTAACCCAACGCATCTTCAAGCTGTCCACCAATCAGTCTTTCGCAACGATAGTACGTTTTCTGCGCAAGAGACTGGGTGTGAAGGAGCATGAGAGCGTGTTTTGCTATGTGGGCAATGTGTTTAGTCCTGCGTTGGATGAGGGAGTCGGGAATCTGTGGAGCTGCTTTAGGCAGGGCGAGGAGTTGGTTGTGGGGTATGCGTTGGCTCCGGCTTTTGGGTAGGTGGATGAGGGATGGAGGGCGAGAGGGGGGTGGTTGTGCGTAGGGGGATATGTTGTGATTCAATCGGTTGTGTCCGATGGCATCTATGTTTACAGTCATGATCATGGAAGCATCCACTCAATCTGGATAAGCAAAATGTTTGTAAATGTCAAAAAAGACAAGGACTATGGCGTGAGGAATATAGCAACACTGATTGAAGAGCAGACGGCCATAGTAATCGTGATGAGGGACTCATTCAACATTGTCGTTCAATTCCCACAATGGAAACCGCTACTCCAAACAACGCATACTGTATAAAAGCAGTCTGCTTCCCACCCTTCGTATAACAGAACCCCTATCATCAACCAAGTTATACACACCACCCAAGCCACACACTTCATCTTTGACAACAGAAAGATACCTCAAATCAACCTCAAAGCGCACATACACTCCATCAAAATCGATTCTACCCCCTAACCAAACAACCGACTCTGAACCTCTTAAATATCCAAACACCAACACAGCTCCAACCACCTCAAATACCAACACAACCATGTGCGAATGGGACGAAACCACCTACGAAGGCTGCTATTGTGTCTACACAGATCTTTATCGGCGATGTGCATACTGGAACGAGCGCGATCGAGTCTGCGGGAGCGGAGTGTCGGATACAGTGCATCGCGGGACGTTGAAGGGGGTGTGTGGTCGGTGTCCAGACCGTGCGGGGCGTGCTTAGGCGGGGAGCTGGGAGGAAGAAGGGGGGTGGGAAGATGTAGGATGTGGAAAGCATGTGGGTGTTTGAGGGGTTACTAGGAGAAAGGGTGGTGGGAAGATGTAGGATGTTGGGAGACTGGTGGGTGGGAAGATGTAGGATGTTGGGAGACTGGCGGGTGGAAGAGAGGAATTGGATACATGTATGGATTGAATGTGTGATATATGGAAGAAGGGAAATACGATGCTGAGCTAGTTGAACCAAAAGCTTACGCTGAAACTAGGTGTTAGACTACGTATATAATGCCACCAACCCACGGGTAAGTAGAGACATTCGCCAGGTGCTAGAATACCTTCGATATACCTCGCGTCTTTGAAACCAGGGAAGTCTTCATCAAACTCGCGTCTCCGTTCTGTCAGACTATCGTCCTCATATCCCTCACAGCTCCCCCCAGACCCCCAACAAGATATCTCAGGACACAAAGTCATAGCATCATCCAAATCAACCAGACTCGTATTACTCATATCCACACCACTCTCATCCGTACTCCTCGGATGCAGACGCTGCGTCTCCGCAGGTGCGTATAGACGCACGTACTTGTAACCTACGACTTGTGCGAGGATGTTGTGGTAGGGGTCGGTGTGGAGGGGTGATATAGTGCCCGCGGGGCCGAACCAAGCATTCAGTAGAGGCTCTTCGAGTTTCGCGACGGGTTTGACGTGTGTGAGGTGGGGAGATGGAGCGGGCTCGCAGTAGCAGTAATCGGGTATGCTGATGTCGGCGCGTAGGGAGGGGATTTGGGCGAAGAGGTCGTGTTGGGCTAGGTAGCCGGTGGGTGTGGGTTTCGTGCTGCTATCTGCCTCGTCAAGTTCAGGACTTTGCGTGGCATCCGTACGTGTTGCGGTCAAGACAGCTTCTCTATGACCCTTGAGCATATACGTCTCCATGAAGTCACGGAAGGTGATGATGCGCTGGCCCCAACCTTCATCGGTATAGCTCTTTCCAACCTCGACTGGTATAAGCCGTCTACCACCAAGCGTCTGCTCTAGCAGATATGCTGGGTCGTTCCACGGCCTCTCATCGAGAGCAGGCCAATGCTGAATCGCACCCTCGATTATGAGTGGCGTATGTGTGTTTGTGTCACCGAGTCTCTTCTGGAAACCCTCCAGACTGAGCTCTTTCGTTCGTGGGATCGCGTGCCGAAGGGTGGGTGGAGGGCTGGGAAGCATTGTTGCGAAGCTTGCTGGTAGGCGTGAAGTTTGACACTCAGATGATAGTCGTCTTCTCTTGCGCGGCCGTTCTGAAGCGTCGGTATGAAGACGAGAGTCTGGTGGAATTAGAACAGCCTTCAGCGCTGCAAACCAAAGCTCTACGAGCTCCTCCCTCTCAGGTGCGCCTGTTAGTATGAGCGTCATATCCAGTATCCGCACCACTGCATCGACCCAGTCACTCTTTGTATTGACTTCTTCTTTGTCGGCCCCAGCCTCCGAGAGGGTCTCGCGCAGGTGCTCATCACGCTCGTCGCCTACAAGCTTCAACACCTTCCACAAACTCGCATCGGTGTACAGCCTGCGCCAACACGTCTTCACCTCCCTATACGGCACATCGTGTAGTTTCTGATACGCAAGCTTAAGGGCAAGCTCGAAATCGTTGGGAAGGAGCGACAACGCGGCGCGTCCGCATTCGCGAAGAGGGTCGGTCTTCTGCCTCGTAGTAAGTTCTTGACGGGTTAGTTGGGTAATCTCTCCAATCGACGGCGCGTCATTGCTCATATCTGACGGCACCACTTCGCGATGGTGTTGGATGGCTACCGCAAAGGGTGCTAGAGTGGCACGGTGGTTGCTGTTGGTAATAGTGCGAGCTTTGACCGACGCCCTGCAGCTCCTTCCCGCGCCGTTGACAGCCAAGACATCGTGAATAATACCCGAACGCTATTCGTTCCACACGGCTGGAGCGTTGGATGCTGAACCATGCGCTCGGTAATCGCTTTTTTGACTTCCTTTTAGCGTAAACCCTGTGCCTTCACACGTGTGCCACCCGGATGTAGGATCAAGGAGCCGAGAGTGCATATTGACTTCATTTATAGGTCGGCAATTTACTGCCGTGACGTACGCCTCAACAACGCCACGCGTTGGGTATATTGCTATTATACACGAGTCTTGCCGCCTGACTCTAGATCGTGATCTCCGACATACATCTTAGATCTCTGATGGCCCATGGGTATCGCATCCGGAAATGTCGTAACCCATCAGTCATCAACCCATCGCGACCGCCACGTGTGGGCGATTCGTGTACTATACATAAGGAAAAGAAAAAATAACATGGGAAGCATTAGGCAGGCTATGCATATGCAAAGAGGCCATGGAGGCCGGGGTATCACGCAGGGGGTATGTAAAGTAGTAAGGGAGTCGTCAACCAAGCAGGCCGCCAGCATCCTGTAAGGACGGCACGTTGCGGCTATGTTGGGTAGGGTTGCGTCGATGAGACGTAGGAGGGGGTGGTGCGGAAGAAAGCAAGCCTCCAGGATCTCGTAGAGACAGAGCATCGTAGCTTGCTTGCGTTGAGCGCGTTGACGTGCGTTGTATGGGCGCGTATCGCTCATTGCGAGGAGGACCGGCTGAGGAGCCCGAGTGTGGAGAGGGAGTTGACAGAGCTTCTTCTTGCTCGCGGTCTTCGGAGAGCAAGCCACCGAGGTCCTGCAACTGGTGGGTGGGCCGGACAGACGACATCTCGTAGTCCTCAGACTGTTGCGAAAGTCGAGAGTTGCGCCGTACTTGAGGCAAAAATGCGCGCGCATTTGGTATGATTGTGTTCGAGGCTCTGGATCCCCGCCGTGGCTGGGTTGCGAAGTCGTGCGCGATGACTGAATCGGTGGGTGAGGGAGCTACGGTTTGATTCTCAAGCAGGCCTCCAACGTCAAACCAGGACACTCGTCTTGCACGTGGACTAGGCATCGGGTCCCGTATATCTTCGACTGTCACGCTGGATCGATCGCTACTCTGAATCTTGCCGGCCTCTTCGTCGGGGAATCTCCAGTTGTTGTTGACAAAAGGACCAGGTTGTCTAGAAGACGACAATAGGTCAAGATCCGCCACAGGAGCTGGCCTAGGTACGCTTGTCTGCTTCTCGAGTAGTTCGGGTTTTGTCCGGTAACCTAGCGATCGTGCGAGGTCTTCGTCGCTACTGCATGTTTGATCCGTGAAGCGTCGAGCTGACCCTCTGCGTTCCATGCTGTCTGTAGTTGATGGTGCTTTGAACTTGGCTTTCTTAACACCTCGGTCGCGAAGGAACGATCCTAGGATGATGGCGTTCGAAACTATGGTTGCAGCCAAGATCTCCGAAGAAGCGAATACAGTGCGGAACTGTTGTAGGCCTTGTCGTTGGATAACTAAAGGCATTCGCGTCCCAGTTACGACGATCAGAACGACTGACAAGGAGAAGAGCACAGTGAGAGATATCTTTCGCTTTAATGGCATGCTCGACCGCACGATGATCGGAATCGGAAAGGCGATCAGAAATATATCGGTGACGATGTCGGTGATGCCCATGGTGAGCAACTGCGCGTAACCTTGTCGGCATTGCGGTCCTGGATCCGGTACGACTTGCCAGTAGTGGGAGGTGGGGTGGCACTCTGCCAGTGTGGCAATGAGAACCATGAAGAAAGTAACGACAAGGAAGATGCGTATGCCACGCAGTCCCCAATCGTACCCTTTCTTCCAGAAACGTTCTGTCAATCGCTTCAGAAACTCCGAAACGGTAAACTTGGCCATCCAGATGCTGGCATGGGGTTAGTCGCACTCTAACAAAGTTGATGACTGCACGTACAACAACGCATAGAATATCCTCGAGGCGAGGACCATCTGAGAGCCGATCTCGCGATGACGGATGATGAGCGGGTCCGTCAAAGTCGAAACATTGACATTGTTGGTGCCCCAGATGAGGACCACGTGCACAAAGCCCATACGCGCAAACAGTGGGATGATGCTGAGCGCCATGATTTTGTCCTCGCGGAAGAGTCGTTCATTGCGGATGTAGCGGCCAGACAGTCGGACGCCTATGATGACGGCAGAGAAGACGGTGCACCACCACGAATACAAGAGAGTCGGGTTGTTGGCCATGCGGGTTCGGCGCAGCGGGGGAGAGGCATTGTACAGGTCGCGAGATATTATCATGCTGCTGTTGAGTAGTCCCCACAGACTCTCGCCTCCGCAGAGGGTGAGCTGTTTGGCAGTCGCGTGCTCAGTGCCGAATTTGCGTGGCAGCGATAGCGGTGACGAGTTGGGGATGGCGATGTGTGCGCTTTGACCATGTCGCTCTTTCTGGCTGACGTTGCTGGCGTACCGAGGATCTGGGATGGCAGAGTGGGTATGCTGTCAAGCTAAGTTTGTAGCCTCAACGCGCGTTTGCAAGCGGTGCGAGGGCGCGGTGAAAGTGAAGTTGAAGAGCGAAACAAGTCACCGGCTGCGAGAGGCGTGATAAACGGAAGCTGCTGCGCGTGTGAGTGGGTCTTATCGCAACGGCAGACTGGACCTTGGCCAGGACTTCGGAGGTACGCCACATATTCGCTGGAGCCCGCCTCGATCGCCAAAGGCGCGCGGGCTGCCTGGTGCCATGGCCTGCCAACCCCAGCATTCCTGGTTCCAACTCCTGGTTCTCGCTGATAGGCGTTAGCTGACACTGCCGTGACACGTCCTGGCCACAACAAAGGGCAATGGGCTCGACATTGGCAATCACGGCTCGAGTCCAAAGCCGAGCATCGCGACGGGAGGACCTGTTGCTGGCTGTCGGATGCATCCCTGCTGGGGCCACCTGCATAATTCCAATGGTGCTGCGCTTCCGCTATGGCGCTTGTAGCTCTATCTGTCTCCAAACAAAGCGATTGGGGCCTGTCGGCGCAATGGCGGGAGGTCAAACACCCCTCAGACCTGAATGCAGCGGTTGCTGACCGCTCGGAGGCTCCTGGGGCATTGGCACCTCACACCCAAGCCTCAGGATAATCAGCTCCGGCAGGCCAACGGAAATGGCCACCAACTGATCGATGACACTGATTATCGCTGGATTAGGCGTGCAAACAGACCCGAATCCCGGGGTTGAGGCCGGTGGGCATGGCGTCCAACAACCTCACTAGTCGCTGCACAAGTGTGCGCATTGCCGCACGATTATCGTGACTCTTCGCCCGGCTATAGTGTTGGAGTTGGAGATGCGCCATTTCGCAGACCCCCACCTCCCGACTGTCGCGTGGTAGAGTGCCCTGTGCGTCTGCGCCTGCCTCGTGAGACCCTGACCCCCGCCATCCCGTTTCGCACCTGCCTTGCGAAGGCGCTCCCTGTTACGATAACAATAGCGATTCATACATTACTACAAAGGCTGCGCTATACCATGATGATGCCCAGACAAGAACGCAATTTTCGAGGACATGGTCCTTGCTGAATGCTGACGTTGAAACCTCCGCGAACGGCCATATTACCAACAGTGTTGCTGCTGCCCCGCGAACGCAGCGAAATGACCGATAACGACATCCCGTCCACAATCCTTCATCCGCCCTAATGATCAGTACATATCTGACGATCGTCCCTGCACCCAGGAATAGTGTACAGTTCTATTCCTATGTACAATGCATACATACAACAAGACAGACTCGACACTACGAGCCTCGCCCTGCTACCATAAAGTTCAAACGACATGTTAGTTCCTATCGAAGGCGCTGCGACCAGATTGTCACACGCGCTACTTCCGAAGAGATATGCCACCCCGAGATTGCGAGGTTCGCAATCGCTGTTGTTGCTTTCCGAGGCTCATGCATGGCCATGATTTTCATGTGCGTATCGCCAAAGTCCTTATCCGTGGCTTCCATCGTGGACATGGCCGCAAGGCTTAGGCTCGCGTGATCGGTCCTCCTGGTTCCACATGTTCAGATGCACGATTAATCAACTCACTTCGGCCCATTGCCCAGCAGCAATAAAACGACACAAACCACTAGGGGACTCATCGGTGTCCATGAGCTGGACTCCAATTCGGTTTTTTGACCCCTTTTACTGGCGTGAAGAGGGAGACGTTGCACAGACGGAGAGCAGAGCCCACAGCATCGTTCAGCGCGATATTAGCCCGTCCACCAGCACTAACAGCGTGTGTAAAGTGGGGATACATGTTTGCTTATGACGTTGACTTGCATTGCGCACTACTGGAGGAGAAAATCGTGAAAAGAGTTTCGCCCAGTTTGCGATGTTGGTTGATGCAGCAAGAGCAAACTCCATCTTGTTCCATGGTAAAGAAAGTCGGACATTGGATAAAAGGAAGATCGACACAGGGGAGTTTGTCCGGGACCTGGCATAGACAAATGTGGATCCATTATGATCAACAACATGCACAAGGCAAACAGGAGTATCTGGTACGTGTACGATTGGGGAGACGTATCGTGAGACGTGCAAGACTGTCTTGAAATGCCAGATCAGGGTTGCGTCATGAGGGGAATCAAGACCACCTGGCCATCTTTCACATGTGAAACCGGTCGAGCTTGGGCCTGCCCCATGAAGAATCGTCCGCGGAGACAGCAAGTCGACACGCAGCAATGCGGTTTCAGGCATTGCTGGAATGATGCATATGTATCCCCATGACATCGTTTGCCGTGAAACCTGTTACCTTATGTGCAGAGGCGCGTCGTGAGTGGCAGTGGAAAACAAATCATGGCCAGATCAGGGTGGGGCCATGACGTCCGCTTTTGGTGAATACCCAACAATGCGCACACGACAGCGCCCGAACAAAACCACCGCAG